CCTAAGGGCCACCTTAGCAAAGCGCATCCCAGGCTGCATAGCCGCACTACCCTACCCAACCATACCACACATAAACATGACACTACCCCCGGGGTTTACACAGACGAGCCGGCGAAGCAAGAAGAGCGCCAGAAGAAAGGGCCCTAGCCGGCGGGGCCCAGCCAGGACAAAAGGAGGTCCCACAAAGCGCCTACACCGGCCGCATTTGCGGTCGGGGTAGACGACGGATGGGGCCCACCTACGAAGGCTGTCCAGGCCTACACGAGATGAGGCAGGATAAAGAGGGATATTCCCCTCGATCACAAATCATTGAGACCAATTTCTAGCAATGGAATAATGGCGCGCGGCGCGCTCATCTGGTATTCCAGCCTTAAGGTGCGTTTTGTTGGATCAATCCCGGATTTATTGGATTCTTTAGAATGACATTTATCAATAAAACGATTCGAATCAAATCTGATATTAGACAGATGCCGAATCTCAACGGACCAATCAGGGAGACTAGAGTAGTCTCCATGGGACCAATGCTACACCAGCTACCTAAGTAACCTCACAAACATAGTCTCCATGCTCACAAATTTGATCTCCCCACCACTTAATTCTAATAATTCCGTCTCAAACCACAGAAGCAAAAGTTGTAACCGGATTCAGAATATCCTTGCAATAAAACGCCCATTCTGCATAATTCAATTCCGGGATCAATCCAACAAAACGCACGATTGTGGTATTCTATGATTTATGACTGTTACTGTCGTTTCGTTCTGTTTTTTAGGTTAATAACTTTTACATTTGAAATAATTAAGATATTTTTTTAAATTTCAATGTAAATAATAAAATGACTGTTTATAATATTTACATATTTGACAAAGCAGGTACACTACTATATTATCAAGAGTGGAATAGATTGAAACAATCTGGTATGACTAGAGAAGAGGTAAGTGAAGTTTTCTTTAGCTATTTAAAGTAGATAAGAAACACTTAAATTGACTGAATCGAATAATGTTTGTTTTTTAGGAGGCTAAATTAATGTATGGTATGCTATTTTCCATTAAGTCTTTCGTAAGTAAAATATCGCCGATAGATATAAAGGAAGGATTCCTTCATTATAAAACGTCAAAATATGCGTTACACTTTCTTGAAACTCCAGCAGGGTTGAAGTTCATCTTAAATACAGATATTAATTCACAAGGAGTCCGGGATATACTGCAGCAGATATATAGTCAGGTGAGAATTTCTTTATTGATTGTTTAAAATTAATCTAATATAGTCATGTTTCAGGTTTATGTGGAGTATGTAGTCAAAAATCCTCTCTGCAGTTTATCACAACCTATAGAATCGGATTTATTTAAAAGTACTTTAGACACTTATATGAAACAGTTGCCGATATTTTCTGCTAAACCTTTATAAATCTATATAGGACGGTTATACCTGAATAATTTACATTTGTATAATATTAAAGTGGGAAAATTTTGATGTGAAATTAATGAAGCACATGTAAAATAAAAAATAAAATATTTGTATTTGTTTCGAAACTATACTGCATACTTCCTCTCATGAAAATAAGATCAAAAGGTTTTTCTTTCTGTTAAAAAGGTGAAAACGTATAAAATATGGGTCTGCAAATGCTTCCTTATTGACAATTATTAACACGTTCGCTGCTAATGATGCCAATTGGCGTCATCAGTTGGGTACAGTTGGTGCCACCCAAATGTGAACGGATTTTGGTTATGGAAATTTCATCTGGATTTTATGGTAGCAAATTGTAGTGGCGTAACACAGAGAGGGTATTCTGATGGACAAATTCGATCAAGATATTGTCTTCCGCGTCATTGGAAACCTTCCCGACACCTTGCCTGATAGGTCTTGTAATTTTTGTTCTTCTTACTAGATGTTCTTGTTTAATATAAAATATACAACTCTTACTGTCATTTAAATCAGCAGCCACTTCACTCAAAGACCAATTGTCTTCTAATTTAGTTATAGCCCTTGCTCTTTGTGCCTCAGTTAAATGCTCCGGCATATTTCACGTTACTTGTTTACATTTCATTATGTTTGCTCTAAGTGACATATATATTTGACAACTATTGAATTTTACGACGACTATGATTTGAAGTTTAACGGACCGGCTGGTGGGTCCTCTTTTTCTACCTGGTAATTTGACTGGCCAAATGTATTTGCAATTACTGGAAGACGCTATTGACCCTGCCTTGATTGATATTATTGAAAATGTTCCAGAGTATGATGAAGATCATTTGATTTTTCAACAGGACGGTGCTCCTCCGCATTATGCGTTAATTGTCCGTCAGTATTTGGACCAATGTTTTCTACGGAATTGGATTGGGAGAAGATGGCCTCCACGATTTATCGCCCCTTGATTTCTTATTGTGGGGATACCTAAATAGTAAAATCTATAAAGTACAGCCAGCGTCGCTGGAAGATCTGCGTCAAAGAATCGTCGACGAATGCCGTCGAATCACTCTGGAAATGCTTCGGAATGTGCGCGAACGTTTCAAACAAAATCTTTTTTCTTGTATGGAAGCGGGCGGTCATCAGTTTGAACATTTAATCAACTAAGTAGTAAGTAAGCAACTAAACATAATTTAAATTTTAAAATGTAAATTTTTTTCAAAGTATTGGGTGGAATTATAAAATTTAAAGTTTGTTGTAAAGAGAATTGTAAGAGCTTTCAAAAGAAATATTACTCAACCTCCAATGCCATTTAAATTTGGGGTGATGCTTACTCTTGCTTGGGGGTGAAAGTGGCGGAATCAAAAATACCAGCAAAGAATATCCCCCTTTAATCTAAAATCGATGGGTCTGAGCGTTTTTGTACAATCTTGACGCAGTTTCTGAAAATGGCTCTGTTTCGTTTTCATTTGGCCACCCTGTATAAGCTTACAGAGCCTGAAGCAGTGAAAGTGCTAAAAAAAATGTTACTTGGAACAGATTTCGAATTAATGATTGAATTAAATTGCACAATATGAATTATAAGGTTAATATGCTCATAGAGTGTCTCTACATTAAAGAATTAACACACTTTTAAAATCTTTATTTTTTGACGAAGTTTGATAATTTTTTTAGTTAGGTAGGTATTCAAAAACAAGCAAAGTACATGTAAGATATATTTTTAGGTTGTGCTGCGCCACCTACCAGCAAGTTGAGAAGAACACGTCTGTAATTTTAAAATATATGCAACCGAGTATACGTTTAGTAAGAAGTCAAATTTTTACTTTTCTGCTATTGCAATTATTTTTTATCCTTCAAGGCAGATTGCATTAGGATCGTTATTAATAAACTAGTGCATTCTACCTTTAAGGGTCAAAATATAATTGCAATAGCGCAGCACCTTCAGCAGCATAAGGCAAACATTATGTTTAAATATTAGAAAGTAGATATATTTTGATATTTTATTTGAGTGGCGTTTATCTAATATTAAAATAATTGTGAAAATAGATAACATTACTAACGTTATATTATAAAAAAAAAAATTTGAATTCGGTGTTATAGTTTTCGATTTAGATTTTTTTCAAGATTGAAACTGAATTTGGAATTGAGACTGAGGAAGAAACATTTTTTTGTCATCAAAAAACAGAATGTGCTGAAAAATACCCGTAGAAAAGAGTTTGCTGGCTGGTTGAAATTATTTTGCCCCAATGAATTGAAGTTGAATAGTAACTGTTGAATTGTATATACCTTTATAAAATGGACACAGTCGTGAAATTGGATTAGGTTTTATATAAATAGGTACTGAAGTTACTGAATACCTAGCTAGGACCTGTGGAGTCTTCAAATAGCAAACATAAAGTCAGAAATAGTGAAAATTAAAAGTTGTTTTATTCAGGGCATAACTGAGGGGAGGTCATATTTATACAGAGGCTTCATCGATAGTTTATTTTTCCAAATTCCGTCGTAATTTTTTTTAGTAATTTTCGTACATCGCCGCTGGACAAGCTAGTGTAGTGTAACTTCAAATAACGCCGTGCTTTAGTCGCAGCGCATACACAATTCCACACCATTCACTGCGAGTTACTTTTGTTGAGTCCGTGTTCGCTACACAAACAGTACTTACAAGTAACATAGCAAAAAACTCAAGCCGTAATCAGTAATGATAAATGAAATACACAAAAATAAATAGTATGTTGATGGCTTCCAGCGATGAGATACATTCAAATTCATTCGTCATTGACCAGCACTATCTCTCTTTCACATGCATTGTAGGTTGCCTACAATTTATGTATGTATTTGTAATACTTGAATATTGCAGTGGCGGCGTACACAAGTATTAAAGTGGATTATTTAAAAACAAACTAATTATAATTCGATTATTTATTTGATTAACAAAAAAAAAAAGAGTTTCAGATTTGTATTTAGGGGACACGTACTATTACCCCTAAAAAACTAACCCCCACTTAAAGTTACACCCTATATAGTGAAATAAGTTGTAGTTAAATTTTTAATATATCATAACATTTTAGGAATTTTAAACTTAACTTATCTTCATAAGCGCAGAATACCTAATGAAATATACAGAGCTTTCATAAATGATTACAAGCCACGTGACCAGTAATATTGTTTGGAACAGTAATTTTATTTCCTTCGTGTTCACAATTAAATTTCGGTAAAATTAAAAATCATTAAAACAATAAGATCACGATTGCATTATAGCACAACGTTCTGTTTCACTGGCTGTGATTGGTGTAATGTTTCAGGAAATTCTATTCAACCAACCAGTGATCGCAGTATCTTGAGCGTAGACGTAACGGTTTGTTATTGTTCATTGTAAACGAATCATTAATTTTCAATTTTATGCCGAAAAAAATATTCGCTCTTCTAAATGTTCATGTTCACAAACATTTTGAAGTAGGTCGGCGTGAGGGACCTGTTGGCATCTAAGAATTACAACTATTTTTGTTTATCACATTCACCAGTGTTATTAAATGTCTCTACCATTTAGACGACAGTCAGACCAACAAAAATGGGGTTAGTTCTGAGTTATTGTCCTTAGATCCCTTTCGACGATATAGGTACCTCGAAATTTTTGTGAAAACTTATTTTTATCAATATACTGAAACTGAAAATTGTACTTAATATTTTAAATAGTAATAGTTTACTATCATGTAGACAGGCAGACAAACAAAAATAAGGATAGTTTTTATTTGCGTTTAGGTCCCTCTCGTCGACGTACTTAAACATTTTTGTCAATACGAACATTTAGATGAGCTACGAATATTTTCGTCGAAATTAATAGCAGGGTGAGCCTAGGGTTCCCGGTAGCGTGTCCGCCACCACAGAGGCTAGCCCCAGAACAACAAGGGCAGATCAAAGATTCCCAGCTCAGGCTAAAGAAGTGCAAAGGAATTCTGTCCTGGCGGCGACGAGGTACGTATACCACGTTATAATATATAATAACCCGAAAAATCATTATGTATAAATATTAGAAAGTATATCTATTTTGATATTTGAAAATTGAGTGGTTTTTATTCAATATTAAAATACTTATGGAAAGAGATTATGTTACTAACGTTGTATTAACAAAAATAAAAGTGAATTCGATGTTATAGTTTTTGATTTCGAATTTCCTTCAAGATGGAAACTAAATTTAGAATCGAGACCAAGGAAGAAATATTTTTTGTCACTCAAAAAACCGAATGTGCTGAAATATACCTATAGAAAAAGGTAAGTTAATGTAGAGCTGGCTGACAAGGTTTGCATGAAATTATTTTGCCCTGATGAATTGAATTTGAATAGCATCTGTTAAATTGTATAAAACGGACAGTTGTGAAATTGGATTAGGTTTTATATATAAATGCAGAAATTACTGAGTACTTAGCTAGGGCCAGTCAAAAAGAGTGAAAATTAAAAGTGGTTTTATGTACAGGGTGCGCCATTTAACAATCCCGCTGCCAATATCTCCGAAATGAAAGAATTTATTTTAGTTCCGGAAACTGGGGTTGTTAGGTCCCTCGAATAGCTTCAAATTGCAGTTAGAATTGTTAGTTCAAATCTTTCTGTATAGTTTTAGTTCCGGAAACTGGGGTTGTTAGGTCCCTCGAATAGCTTCAAATTGCAGTTAGAATTGTTAGTTCAAATCTTTCTGTATAGATGGCGTGGCGATACTAAAAAATGTTTTTATGCCTGTTACGTGGAAATGCGGTCCATTTAGACAGTCAGACAAACAAAAATGGGGATAGTTCTGAGTTGTCTTTAGGTTCTTCTCGACGATATATGTATAGTCTTTCCGATCTCAATTGAGGAGGTTGGAAGTATGTACCAGGTTCGGTCACCGACGCAGCAACTCGGCATTGAATATTTGAAGAACTTGTTCCCATATTTATTTAGCCATATCCATATGCAGGTCTGGTCGAACTAAACGTGGAGGTGGTAGGAATATACAGGGTGGGCCACCAGTAACGCCTCGGTCGCTAGTGACCAAACGGCAAATGTTACAGAAACCTGTTTAGGTGGGTATGTGTAGGTTGATTACGGCTACATTTAAAACATATTTTGAGATATACA